TTTGTCGATAATTGGATTACGCAGCTCATTGCAAAAAATCCCCTGTTTTACCTCTCGCCCATAAGTTAGCTATTATAGCGATTCATAACAGAAAAGCACCCTGGAAGGACAAAATCTCTAATTCAGTGAGGAAACATCTGCCGGTAATTTCATCAACAAACTCTGTAGCATTTACAACGCCTGCCTGTATCTATGCTATTTCCCAGCTGAGTGGAAGCAAGCGGTTGTCATCTTAATTCCCAAACCCAGAAAAGATAATACAAGAGTGGATGGGTTTCGCCCAATCAGCTTGCTTTCTGCACTGGGAAAGATCCTAGAGAGGATTATCTGCAGAAGACTGCAGCCAGCCCTAAACGCACTTCCAAAACAGCAGTTTGGTTTCTAAAGGGTTGTCTACCACCATGCAGCTTGTCAGAATCATTGAATTTTTAAGCGCAGCCATTCTTAAGCACCAGACAACTGCTTTCCTTACGTTGGACATGGTAAAAGCCTTTGATAGCATTTGGCATAACAGTCGTATCTATAAGCTTGCTTCCCTCGATCTCCCCAGGGAAACAATTTTGATTCTTCACTCCTTTCTAAGTGATCGATCCTTCGATGTTAGGCAGGGCGATGATTACTTCTGAAAAACCACATTAAGCCGGCATCCCCCAGGGAAGCATCCTTGGGCCTATTCTCTATATTATATACGTTAGACGACACCGCCATTCTTTCTAGTTCACTTAATGTATGACATGCTATAATCAGAATACAAAACCACACACACGAGATAGAGGAATGGTGTCGCAAATGGAGGACGTCCATTAATGCCACAAAAACCAAATTATTACTGATAAGACGGCACAGAAGAAAAAACATTGATGCAGATCTGATCCTCTTTAATGATCATTACCCAAAGTCAGAGAGGCTACATACTTGGGAGTTTGTTTTAATGGCTCGCTTACGTGGGGTCCTCACATTTCCATGATCATCGGAAAGTCATAGGAGTCTCTAGGAAGCTCCGAAACTTTCTTGACGCAACCTCACCACTGTATCTTGCTCGCAAGAAGCACATTTACACATCAATATTAAGACCCATCCTTACATATGTCTGCCCTGCATGGTGCTCTGTTCCACCTCATATTAAATGATTGCAGTTTTCCAAAACTACTTAAAAAAATCACAGGACCCCCCCCCCCTGGTTCGTTCGCAATGAACAGCTACACGAGGGACCTTAAATCCAAAGTCTAGCGTTATTCATCAATAAATTAAATAATAATTTTTTCAAGAAAGCCATCACCAATGCGGAGGTAAATTATTCAGACAGTTTTAAGTACGAGCTCCTAGAAATTGATATCAATTTAAGGCCGTATGCAACCCACATTTATCGGAATACCCCATAAATAATCTTAACTTATTCAAGCCAATTTTGAAGTTTCAAAGTAACATTTTCATTTGCACTGACCTGGGCCGCATCTACACAATCTTCCTGCTGTCCCTTGTCAAGGTATTCCTGCGAAGCACTGTATGTTATGTCTCCTCTAACCGGGATTATTTGAGGTGCCTGTAATAGCGAGATATAATTCCTGCTGAAACAGGCATATCAAAAATATCAAAGTAAATCTGCCATGCTTTTTTGTCACAAGGCAGTTAGTGATCTGTTGACCGTCATCTGCCATGTGGTATAATTTGCTGTTTGTAAACTATTATTATAACTAGAACTTATTTGGGATTTGAAAAAAAAACTAAAATGTGGCCAAAATGTATGGCATAATTGAATCAGATAAGCCTCAAGCATATATGGAATATAGATGCAAATATAATAAATAATAAAAAAAAAACTAATGTAATTCAAGCTTAATTTTCTCAGTACACAAAAGGAGGAAGACAAATTTTAGTGGAACAACATGTCTTTAGTAACCAATTTTATGATACATTGCCAATAGTACATTTTGGGTGCTTCCTAAGCTTTATGGTGATAGCCCGCGAATATGAAGTTTTCAGATATTGCAAACAAAAAGTGAAATTTGCCAATTAATGGAAATTGTGAAGAAGTGATAATAAAAGAAGATGACATGACAAAAGTATTCCATTGTGATAGCAATGCCCCAATAATCAATAAACTAATGGATGGCAAAATCTGTAGTAGGTTTCCAAACACAGAAAATTTCACTACCAGTAGTGAAGAAGTGACAGAGAAGTTGTTTAGAATGAAAAAATTTCAATTGACAATTTAATGGGAATTCCCAACCCAATAATTAAAGGATTTGAACTGTAACTGAGTGAGAAACTATGTCTATCTATGTAATTAAAGAGAAAGTACTAGTACAAAAAAGAAGCAAGCAAACTTACACTGAAGAAATGTTTAATAAAGCAAACAAATAAATTTTGAGCCTTTTTGGGGGTAAATTTTGATTTTTTAAAGGTTATAAATGCTTCATTATTTCATAAACAACTATATCAGATTTTTAATTTCATAATTTCTGCATGATTTAAAATCTGGAAAATTCCCAAATCCAGAATTGCAAAGTCCCTATGGACTCGGACTTTGTACTATAGTGCTATGGTTGATATTACTTGCCAAAAAGAACCATTAGAACTCATATATGATGAAGAGGTAAATATAAGTTTGACAATGGTAGATATGAAAACCTTTGGCTTAATAAAAACCTGTGTTATATCCAAATATGTAGAAAATAATATTTAATTTATTGATATCTTTCCCTATCTCATAAATTGTAGAATAAAACTTTAGTGCTTTTAATTATGTTGTAACCAAAGAGAGAAACTCTCATATTTTTGAAAGGGGAGATCTTCAATTATTCCTCACGAAAATGGAATCAGACATCGCATATTTAGTCTCACAGCAACAACCCCAAGGATCCCATTAATAATTAATTAAAAATTTTTTGCATTAATTTTCATTTTCTTTATTTTAAGCAGTTTTTGTTATTCTTTAATAAATCTTAATCTTTTATAAATATATGCAAAGGATAAATAAATAGCTGAGTTTTAACTGTATATTCTTTATTAAACCTCCACTCAAAAAATTACTTTGTAATCGTGCTGAATTAAGTGGTTGTGGAACCAGTGGGTCGTTAGGCTGTTGTACCACCTACAAAGTGGACAGTAGGTATAAAAAGATAGACTACCCCTGGTGTATATGTTCCTTAGATTGTGGAACCTAGAGCCATCAAATTTTGAACTGAACATGTGCATCTTGAAGCCTAAATTTAAAATTTATTTTTTAATTGTTTCATATTTTGTTTGAATTTAATGAATTTCTGATTAAATTTGGAGCTTTAAAAGCAGTGTTTTATCCTTCAGCAAAGGATAAGCTTTTTGTCTTTCAAATTTAATCAGAAAACTCAGTCATTTCAAAGAAATATTTATATTGTGAGTGAATGAAATAAAATATTTTAATCTTCCACATGCCAGTGTGTTTGTTGCCTTTCAGCAAAAAGTAAGGTTATTTAATTTTTTTCACATTTAATTTGTTAGCGATTTAAAAGGCAGTTTTTTATGTGTATTGTTATTAGTTACCAGCTGAACATATGAAAGTACAGTAACTGGACTAATAATAATAAATCATTATATATATACAGTCAAAAGCCTTTAATCCGAACTCGTCGGGACTTCAGCGATTACGGATTATAATGTTTAGATATACTGGTATTTTGAATGGAAATGAAAAAATTAAACACCAGTATAACACTTTAAATTGGAGGTGCAGAAATTAGATATTTCTGGACCAACAAATGCATGATGCATGCATTGACACAGATATTAGTCAATCATCTATATACAGTCAAAAGTCTTTAATCCGGACTCGTCGGGGACTTCGATGATTCCGGATTATAGATCATCAGTTTAAATCTGGTAAGATGGCATGCAGAAATTATAAAATTAAAAATATGAAACCGTAATTTATGAAATAAAGAGCAATTATGATCTAAAGGGTATCAAAATTTACAAAAAAAGCTTTATATTTATTTGTTTACTTTATTAAACATTTCTTTCAACGCGCACATCCATAAAGCATACATTACGCATAGTCGAAATTAGAAAATTGCAACCTAGAAAAGTATTGGATGTGTATTCGTGATATTTATAATGACGAGGAATTTGATTTAAATCATATCAAAGACGGAGTACATCGAGATGAAATGCTACATTTAGTAAGGAATTATAAACCGAATAAAATAAAAACATCTGCCCTGAAGATAAGGATAGTACTGACAGATCAACCTCCAGTTCATTGCGCGCCACGACGTCCCCCCCCCCCTGCAGAGCAAGCGGGAAATGTATAAACTGATGATTTCGGAATGGTTAGAGAAACAAAGGATATATGCTTTTATCCATTTTTTGCAGCAATTCCACTTTTTGTTTGATGGACATCGAAACATGCTTTCGCTTTGTAGATCCTTTGGCAGCTCTAGAATCGGAAATTCTTTTTGACATAATCGAAATTTCAAGCTTACTTTTATAAAATTGCTCTAACAGTCTGCAAAAAATAATAAGCCAGATTCAATTCGAAGTTTAAGGAACAATGCAATCTTCAACATTAACTGAAATAGATAATTAGATAATTTTAGCGTAGCTTATACTACGCATGCGCAGAAAGTTTGTAGCTTTGAGGTCCGGATTAAAGACTTTTGACTGTATTTCTTTTTTTATGATATTTATTTTTGGTGGTTGGCCATGCAAGCATCTAGTTAAATTAAAAAAGTTAAACAAAATTTGCAGTATTATGCTCGTTTTAATAGTTTATTCTTTGATTTGTGATGACAAAAATATATCTGTGAGGTAATTGTAAACATCCTCCTTTCTTACCTCTACTTGACCAATTTTTCTCATCAGATTCAAAAATAATTTATTTATGTGCTGCACTTAAATGATGAAGCAATTTATTTGTTTATTTATTTATTTATTTATTTGGTGTGTGTGTGAATTTTATTTCATTGTAAAAAATCATTTGTTTAACCATCAGATTTTATGTAATTCATGCTGTTTGATTCATTTCTAGGATGTTTACTTACATTATTTAAACAATGATTCCATCGAAATAAGATTATTTCATAAAAGGTATCCACATTACATACCACTGATGTTATTACTGAAAGCACTTATTGATAAAAGTGATTACTTCATTCTTCAAGAAATAATAAAATTCAGACCAGATGATATCCGAATGAGAAGGTAAGTGTGCTATAAAATTATGTTGAAACAGTGTATGAAATTTTGATAATTCTGTAAATTTGTTTACTATATAGGAAATTATTTTAAATGTTTTTCAGTATTTTTATTATGCATAAATTAACTGCATAGAATCTAGAAGTAATAGTTGTTTTTTGGAAAGCATAATTTTTTTGTAATGATATTCATTACAGGAATTTGATAGATATGCTAAGACTTGTTAATTCTAGTGATGCACCTGTTGTTAGATTGCATCAACAGGCTAAGAATTTCATAGGAGCAATGTTTTGTCCTGTCCTTGGTTTACCTCCTGATACTACAAATTGTGAAGCAGCAGATTTTCTCTTTAGGTGATTTTATTGATTTTTTTAAAAAAGCAATTTCCTTTTCTTCACGAATCATTTAAAATATTTAGAAAAGAATGATTTTTTTTTTCTTTTATGTAATTGTCTTTTCTTCATTAAGTATACATCTTGTCCTCAAAAGTGTTTACCCAGCTTTTATTTTTGCAACTGTTGGTTACAGACATATATTTTCATTAAAGAAAATTTTTAATGATGCAAATATCCATGTTTCAGCATTTTTAAATTTTAAAAAAAAATTATATATGTAGGAAAATTTTGAATTCACTAAAAGTGTGAAATTGCTAATATTATTTGAGTTAATTAAAAATGAAAACAAATGTTTGTAGTTCAATGAATGTTTTATATGATTATGATTCGAAAGTAATAAAACTTATTTGCATGAGCAACTTACATTATAAGTGAAAATTAAAAATTTCTTCCTGAAAATTGCTAAATCTCCAATACGTTGCATATTTTCTGAAATACCTATAAAATTTCTATGTAATAGATGCATTTTATACAGCTTCCAAAACTAAGTTATTTAGTGTAAAATGATGTTTTTGTGTTTATAAAAAATTTCTCCCAATATGTTTCATTATCAAATATCTTAGTAGAATATTAAAGGTTGTAATGTACTTCTTAAGAATCATCCATTTGAAATTATCATCAGCTGACAGAGTTTTGTTGTATTTCATGTGTTTGATTACACGTTATCAATGTTTTTTAAATGGTGTTGATATAGAAGCTGCAATAAAAATTAATGAAAGTTAATTTCTGAGTACCATTTTAATGAAAATTCCCAATTGAGATATTTTTTTTTTTCCTTCTGTAGATGAGGGTTTGTATTTGATCACCCTTGAAATCAATATAGTGTTACTCTAAATTTGTCCCAAACTGAGATTGCTTTAATTGCCTAATTTTAAACATTAGTTACATTGAAGTATCAGCTGTTGATGATGAACATTTCAGTTTTCTTATAAATATTAATGTCTCTGTTTGTGTTTTTCTTGGTTATTGATATTACATGTATAAATTGTTTTAATCTTTTATATACCTTTCTATGAATTTAGAAAATGCCTTTTGATACATCTAGAAACTAATGAAGAAAAGTTTAACTTTCTGTGGTAAGTAATTTTAAATATATGCTGGTGTATTTCATATTTATTACATATCAATGCTAATGTTTTTTGTATGTAAGTATTTTGTTTTCTGTAACATGTTGCCAAATTAAATATCAATCAGTTAAATTATTCTTGCTATTAAAGAAGCTGAGGGAACAACCCTTTAGGCTTTGCACCATATTAGGCAGAATGAGTAGTTTCATCAAAATTGTTCCCCTAAGAAAACAAATGCTACTCCAAAGCCTTACAAACCCCTATCCAATCTAGTAGAGGCAAAATTTCTCAGCTCACTAAGCATAGGCGGTAATGTACAAACTGGTATCAGAAAACTATTGGTCTGTCACCCAACTGCTCATAGGATGATAAGTGAGGAACTTGGGTTGTATATCCTCCAGAACTGCGGATATCAGAGTACAGATCATTATCATCATTCGACCGCTGAGCTCGTAGAGACGAGGCCGAATATTTCCTGTCTTGGTAGTGTCTTGGGGATTCTCGAGAAGATACCTGGATATTTTATTTGTGTGAAGATTAGTAAGCTCTTTTCTTTTGTTCATCTTGCGGCATGCATTACTGAGCCAACGGTTAGGTTAGCAGCCTGTAGGGAGCATGGAGGATGAAATTGCAGCTTTCGATAAGAATATACGTGAGCATCACGATTCTAACTTAAGCATTAGATTTATAGGTTTACAACATGAAATTGAAAATTTGTGCCAAGCAAAAACCCCTGAAAATGACCCAGCGTATTTGGAATTGTTAAAACAAATGGAACTGTTTAACTTAGAAATGAATAAACGTAAAATCAATTAGGATAAGTCAATGAATGAACAAGCTAGCAGTTCACAATCAGATTATGATAAAAATCAATTCTTAAAACCAAATAAACCCACTAAGGAAAAAAACAAAGTTAAAAACTTTAAACGCACATCTAGCGGAAAAAGCCGAAAAAAGAAAATCATCGATAATGAGGGATTTACCTCGCCTAGAAAAACCCACAAAAGAAATAATTCTCAAACTGAAATTGAATACCCAGCCCCACTTTCGAGCCTCTCAAAAATGAAGTTAATATGGATGAAGGCAATCAAAACGAAACCCCATTCGAAACACCAAAAAAGACTGCAGGGCATATACCGCCCATAGTGTTAGCCGATTTCAGTGGAAATTGGGATATAATGAAGGACGAATTGGAAGACTTATTAGGCATTAAAAATTACACAGGAGATCTAAAGGGAGGGAGACTAACTATCAGAGTCTTCGACTCCTACCGCTATAGTGCTATTACTGCTTATTTACAGAAAAAAGAAATACCCTATCCATACCTTTCAAATGAACTCGAAAAAAATCCCATTAAGGCAGTGATTAAAAAACTTCCTGCCACCACTGATATTGAAACCCTTCAAAAAGAAATTAAAGACATGGGAATTCCTGTAGAGAAAATAAGACAAATTACTGCTGTCAGAAGTGGAGAAATAGTCAAATTACCAGTTTTTCTGGTCAACGTGAAACGGAACATAGACGGTAAAAAGATTTTCGCTATTAAAAAACTTAGAGGACTAAATATCCTAATTACAAAATATAGATGACGGCCAGGTTCCGTTCAATGTCATAAATGCCAGAGGTATGGGCATACACGGGACCTGTGTCATTACACCCCAAGATGTCTGAAATGCAGTCAGATGCATGAAACTTATCTGTGCAAGTCCAAAAAAGAAACCGACCCACCAGTCTGTGTACTTTGTGGTCTAAGTCACGTTTCTTCTTACAGAGGGTGTAGTAAAAACCCTGATAATATTAGGGAAAAAAACTGCTGAACAAAAAGCCTAACAAGAAAGAAAGAAAAAGGCCTCAAATCCCGAATTCAATTTGCAAAACGAAGAATTCCTGAGTTTGCCTATGCGCAACCCGCAGAATATCCCAAACCCTCCCACAGCGTGGAATACTGACAATTCCACCAATCAAGAGACACCCAGCTTTTTCGAATGGGTAAAAATGCAATTAATGCAAGCCAAAGCATTTTTCACAAAATTTAAGTCTGCTAAGACTTTAATGGAAACATTTGAGATCGGGATGTCAGCGATCGATTATTTTATGAACCAAAACTATGAATTCTAGAGCCAATAATTATAATCCTGACTTGATAGCAAACACTAACAGTTTTCTCAAAGTCTCCTTTTTTAATGTGAATGGAGTTAATAGGCAGAAGCATGAACTCACAAATTATCTGAAGAAACACAACATTGAAGTTATGCTAATTAATGAAACCCACCTCTTTCGTAATTTAAAATTCAAAATCCAAGGATATAATGTTCTGAGGACAGATCGCAACAGCGGAGGCGGCACGACTATTCTGATCAAAAATCACATAAAATTTACCAAATTCAACATCACAAGCACAGGAAGAGTGAAAAACACCGCTGCTTTAATTTATACTGGTTTTAACTATCTTTTCTCTTTTATCTCGGTTTATAACCCACTTCAAAATAATTTAACCAACATTAATCTGGGCAATCTCACAAATTTTAATTTTCCGACCATTATTGCCGGGGATCTGAATTCCAAGAATACTAATTGGAATTCTAATCTTAGTAACCGTAATGGAATTACTCTCAATAAGTATGCACTCAGCAGTAATATAAGAATCATCGCCCCTGAAGTCCCTACAAGTTATCAATATGACGGGAGAGATGACACCCTTGACATTTTAATTCTCAACAATATTTATTCTACCCCTTACCTTGAAGTGACAGAAGAACTTTCTTCAGACCACCTGCCTATTAAATTTGATTTTTACGGGTTTTACCCACCCCTCATGGTACCAAAAATTAAAGTTAACTGGAATATCTATAAAAATGAACTTCTCAATGTGTCGAGCAGAGTTATCATGTGCCACCCTGAAGAAATTGAGCAAGAAACCCAAAAATTTAATGTAAAAATTCAAAAAGCTATGGCTACGGCTTCCTATGTCCAGAAGAATGTTAATAATCAATATCTTCCTAAAAGTATTCTAAATTTAATCCAAGAAAGAAATAGATGTAGGAAAAATTGGCAAATGACCAGAGATCCAAAGGACAAGAACCATGTTAACTACTTAACGAGAAAGATCTCCAAAGAAATTATTACTTATCGCTCTAATAAATGGGACACTCCTTGAAAATATTGACCTACAACCCAACACTATTTGGAAAATTGCAAGCTCTATCAGATCGAAATGCTCTAACCAACTTCACCCTATTATGAACAGGTAGCATACTCATAATTCAGAACAAGAAATTGCAGAAGTAATGGCGAATAGTTTACAAGAAATTTTCGAACCACACTCAGAAGACAGCCCTTTCGATTGCACAATTAATAATGAGATTGAAAAGTCAGACTAAGAAGAAACAGAGATTTTGTTAATTTTACCTCCCCCAGAGAAGTGTGTGAAATTATAAAGAAACTTAAGAAAAAGAAAGCCCAAGGTCATGATAAAATTAATAACGAAGCCCTGCTAGCCCTCCCCAAGAACTGTATTGTTCTTCTCTGCAATATTTTTAATGCATGCATTAGACTCTCTTATTTCCCAAGAAACTGGAAACACTCCATTGTCATTTTGCTCTTAAAGCCTGAAAAAAATCCTCATAATGTTACAAGTTATCACCCTATTAGTTTGCTTCCTGCTATTAGTAAAGTTTTTGAATGCATCATACCAGCAAGACTCAGCACTTTCACTGATCAATTAAAAGATACTGATGACCAACAGTTCGATTTTAAAAAAGCCCTCTCTACTACACATCAAATTATCGAGTTCATCGCCTTAGAATTTCAAAAGATGAATGGAATCGCGGCATGCTACCTCGATTTCGAAAAAGTCTTCAATCGAATGTGGCATGCTGGTCTCATTTATAAATTATCTAAACTCAAGCCTCCCGACAGCTTCCTTAAACTTATGGCCTATTTAGAAGATCGTACATTTCAAGTCAGATGCGGAGATGCCCTTTCAAATAAGAAAAATATATTTAGAGGCCTTCCTCAAGGCTCGGTTATCTGTCTGGCAAATTTTAATCTGTATACAAGTGATATGCCTTTACCCCTGAATGCAAAAATTTTGAAATATGCCGATTACATGGTTATCTTATCTAATTCAGTGAACCCTCAACATGCAATAGATAAGCTTAAAAATCAAGTTCAAATCATCGAAATATGATGCAAAAGATGGAAAATTAACCTTAATCCGGAAAAATGCTGCATTGTACTGTACAGAAGATACAGAAAATACTTCCCTGTCAATGTTGACATTAAATAGATAATGTTCTCATTCCCACCGCAAGTTCCTACAAATGTCTAGGAGTTTTCATTGACTCACAGCTTACCTTTGTAGAGCACATTAACTATGTGACTAATAAAGCTAACGCCGCTTTTATGGCTTTGTATCCAGCCCTCGGAAGAAAATGTAAATTAAATCTACAGACTAAACGGACTCTGTACTTGACATGAATTCACCCAATACTTCTCTACGTTGTGCCTGCAACATTCACAGGAAGAAATTAAGTGTCATGCAAAACAAAATACTTCGTTCTATGACAAACGCAAGATGGTTTTATCAGAAACATGCAAATTTATCAGGAATTGAAGATCCCTGAAATTCAAGAACAAATCTTAATTTTCTCACACAAATTTTTCAACAACGTCATTAATTCGCTGCACAATGCTATCAAAAATTTAGCGAACTATGACCCAGCAGAGGAAAATATGGCTAAACGACCGCGATCTATTCACCATAACTCAAAGTGGTGAATATGTAAATATGGTAAGTACTATGTAAATATTTCTTCAAATTTCTTGCAAATTTTCCGCATTTAATCGCATTTATTCATCTTACCAAGTTTCAACTTTGTTTTCATATATTTATCATCTTATTGCTCTTGGCAAAGCTTTGGACTATTGTGAACTTAAAGACTTTTAGCCGATTATGGACTTTGCATTATTTTCTTAAAACTGTGTTCTCAAATTCAGTGTATGACTCTGCTTAAAAATGTGTCTCTGCAATTGGCTCACGTAACCTCACGCCCACTTCTAAAAGTTCTGAAGATTAACTAATTTTATAAAGTATTTTCAACTTTATACAGTGTTTTAACTCAAGAAATACTTCCCATTAGTGACTCTTTCACATAATTAATTGCTTTCAAGGGATTATGGACTCTTTTGAATTAATTAAAAATGGAATTACTACTTTTGTATGATCGACCATTCAGATTGTGACTCAATCACATGTACCTTAGCTACTCTCACGTATGCATGCTCATTTTCAGTCGACGAAGTTCCTCGGTTTGCTAAACTGCTCCAACACGTACGTATAATTTTTACGATCATTTACTGATGTTGTAATGGGAATTAATTAAACTATTATGAATTTCTTCCCCATATGCCTTGCCACCTCTTCAATTTCGCCTACGGGCGTGTTGCTACGGCACCCTAACTGAATTTAATTTTAAAATGTGAGCGGATTTCGGCCTTACTTGAACTATAGGCTAAAACTCTTATGTAGTGTAAATCTAGATTATGAAAGGACGATTTTCATTTTCCTTTCATCAGAGTACAGATCTTAGCCAGTACAATAAATGGAAGGTAGGGCTGAGTTAGGAATGTCGTATTTACAGTACCCTTTTTTTATGCCAAAGATTTTCTAAAGGTAATTTATAAGAAGAAAGATTACAAATAGCTGCAAGCCAATCATTTATTTAACCGTTTGAGTCCGGCGCACGCTTCACTTGTCGTATGCCAAAAATACGGCACAGCGTGATAGCGCTTCTCTTGTTTTGTATCGAGAATGCAAAGACGCTGCTGTTGGTTAGTATACTTGAAAAAAAAAAAATTATTGAAAATTGAAAAAAATTATTGAAATATTCAATTGGTTTCACATCAGGAGGAGGGGCATGCTTTGGTCCAGGTACTTTAGAAAAAGTATTCGATTCGTTTGAAAAAATTGTATCCACGGGTAAAACTCATAATATCTTCATCTAGGTACTTGCAGTACTTCATCATCACTGCTATACTAATACTTATCTCGAACAATTGATGATGACTTCACTATCACTACAAGGTCATTATATACTCTTCATTATCACTTCTCATAACATAGTCCTTTCAAAGAATCAGAACTTACTTGGGTTCTCGTATTATCAGTATAACACTTAATCAAAATGAAACAGTTTCCATTCCTATAAACCAACTGCTACTGCTATCACTACACCTGCTATCAATAATTGCGTAAAGTATACTAACCAACAGCAGCGTCTTCGCATTCTCGATACAAAACAAGAGAAACGCTATCGTGGTGTGCCGTATTTTTGGCATGCGACAAGTGAAGCACGATAGCGCTTCGCTGGACTCAAACGGTTAAAAAATTCTTTATAAATTATTTTACTTTCAAGCTGACTTCCACTCTGTCTTGTTGAGTTTTCACTTCTAAATTAATAATGAGATTCCCAGATCAATAAACAAATTTAAAATCCATTAAAAACTTAAACAAAAATATCTTTATGGACTGTGAAAAGTTTTTAAAATTATTCTTAAAAATTCTTTTTTCAGATTAAAATCTCTGTTTTGTTTTAGTTTTGCAGTATCAAAACTATTTCATATAGTGCACACTAAATGTGAAGGAGAAGATATCGATAATCCAGTGTTTCAAGAAATGTTATCTCCTTGTCAGATATACATGATACCTATCAAAGTATGTTTTTTGGCTTAAATGCACATTTAACTGTTTTAAAGTTTTAAGATATGTGATAAGTTTTAAGATACTCTTAGATTAATTCTGATCTAAATCAGAATTAATCTAAGAGTATTGTTGTGTGATATAACTGATTTTAAATATTAATTCTGTAGGAAGGTATCACAATGTTCTTGCATTCTGTAAAAAATAATCTTACTCGTCGTATCCAGAAGTATAGTTTTGGAAGAGGTTAGTTACTTTACCATCAATTTTTATTTGTAATTCTGTACACCTTGTTTTAATTTTCTTTTTTTATTAAAATTTCGTGCAGATCTTTTAAACACATGTACATCTTTGGCCTCATCTTTAACTCCAATGGTTTCTTCAATGATTGCTACAGGCAATTTCCCAGGACGAAATTGGGGTCTTATGAGTGATACAGGTTATACTGTGCAAGTGAAACGGAGGAATATATTTGACACCATTGCTCAGTTTACAGGACTCTATAAATTTTCGATGGAGCATTATTCTGCAGAAATGCGAAAATTTTATCCTGAGTCTTGGGGTAAGTATATTAGCTTGCTTGGCACTGAATAGCTTATTTCTATGTAGTAGACTTGCTTATGTAAGTAGATGGAAATCAACAGAGAAATTAGGCTGGGAAACTGGAATATTGAATTGAGTGCCATTCTTCCAAGATAGATAGATTTAAAAATATGCATCCAAACAAACAGAACAGAAGATTTAATTTTAAAAGTAAAAATGTGATAAAAATAACGAAGTTTTCAAGTAAAATCCATGAAAGCCTTGCATTAAATATCAGTTTCATTTTCATTCACTTCAGGATATGTGGATTCGGTCCTTGATACTCGTATGTAAAGGTGCGCATCATGAGCGCTCCAATGGAGACAAGTTCTACTGCCAAAGATATTGCACAGATGGACGTTAGCGTTCCACCTGAGACACCTACTACTACGGAGAGTTGTGTTGGGCTTCACCCGCAATCTCAATCAGATAATGAAAACTTGGATTATTATACGGAAAAACTTATGGACTTGGAAAAAGAAATCGATGCAGTTAAAATGGCAATTTTGTTGTTTGACTTCTAAATTAATAGGAGGATTCATGTTTGAAACTTCACAAATAATAAAGATCTCTTCTGTAAAGGACTTACAGTATCTTCTTGTGAAAATGCATTTAAATTTAGAAATTCTTACGGTGTCACCAATTTTTAATATTGGCTTTTTAATTTCTCTCAACTCATAAACTATAACTTCTTTACCTGTAAGAGATGCTTCTACAGGTTTCATAGATTGATGATATAAATTGTGTTAGTTACCTTTTAAGATACATTCTTCACTTATGCAAATAAATGTTTATTCATGCATTACTTACATATCACTGAGACAGTGCAAATAAAAATACATAATTACTATCCGCACTTCATAAATATTACCCTTCAAATTGGCTTCCATCAAAAATACTCTCTCGTTGCCTTCATAAATATTACCCTTCAAATTGGCTTCCATCAAAAATACTCTCTCGTTGCCACTCGAGAGGAAATGATTTAAAATTAATAAGGCATTGAGTTTACGTTAGGGCTCCATGACTTAGAGTCACTATATAGAATAACTTGGTAAAACTTTCTGGTTGTACCCAAAGGTCTAATATTTTGTTTGATTAGGTACTCTTCTATGAACTATATTTCTCCTTGTCTAACTTTAAAGAGTGCGTTTCGTCATGTAATAAATTTACGTGAATTTTCATTCTGTTATATCTTCAGTTCTCTTATAGCTTCTTTCTGTTAGATACTGGAGTCTCCCATTCATTACCATCTTAGTCTGTAATTATCCTCATCAATCTGTTGTTGAATTTTGGTGAATAACCGTGAAACATTTCAAAAGGAGTTTTATTTGTAGTCTTATTTATCATATTGTTTAAATTTTTTTCACATTCTTTAATCTTTTTGTCCCAGTCCCTCTGATTCGGATTTTCCATACTCGTTTGAATTGTAGCGAAAATTGTTTGATTTGCTCTTTCCACAATTCTCAACCACTTGGATGTTGAATTGAATTGAGCGTATGACTGGTTCCATTATTTTCACAGTACTCTCGAAATTCCTTCGCTGAGAAACATCTTCCTCTGTTGCTAATAATTTTTTCTGGTAACTCAAAATCATCTACAGAACTCTTCAATGCAACTAACACCATACTGGTTGCCAGTACTTTCATAGGAAATAAGCGTGTGTAATTTTGTAAATCTTGTAAATTACCATATTACAAATAATTGTATATTTACTTTGAACTTTTTACGAATGACGTCTAAATGATTGCCATGTATGATTGCAAAAGGTCTTCTTACCTGGTCTAATTGGATGCAGGACTCCTTGTTCTTACCCACTAGGCAATGATTTACTAGGAATTCAAACACATGAAATGTGACACATAACATATGTTCATTCCTTGTAGAGTTGCGCGCCCCACCTGCACGCAAACCAAGGGGGTGAATGTGAAACTGGAAAATAGACAGAGTCTTGCTAAGAATTTAAGTCCCTTTTTATTCAAACTTAATAAATTACAATTGCGTGCTCTTGACGCTCACAAACTACGCCGACCCGGCGGTAAAATAAAAAAAGAACCTGAAAAGAAATATAACAAGACTCTAACTACGAGGCTCTCTAAAAGTAACTAACCTCACCGCGTTTTACAATACCGCTGCTAATTCAGCAAACTTTGAAGATCACGTTAAAAGATTAACAATTCTCCGAGGCAAGCACACAGGCCGAAAACGCGGGTTCTTCAATTTCTACTAACTACCTCCGCGCTCGTGAAGTAAGAACAGCACATCTCGAACTCGTTTCCTTTCTATTTAAACTCAGAATACTTCCGCTGATAATTTGAATCCTTGCGCGTTCTACTAAAATTTACATTACTCTGGCATTGGCAGTTTCAGGGGAAAGTAAGGCTTGACAGGAAAGATAGTTTAAACTTAAAATAAATGTTAGTTAAAATAAATAATAAACCCTACATCTTTAACTAGTATGATCCTGATTTTGGAAGAGAGTGTTTATGCTGAAAAATGTCCCAAAAGATCGTGAAATTTTACTACAATACCTTTTTTCATCAACTTAGGTATGACATATAATAATTTCTCCTTTTCCCAAACTTTTACTTTACGAAACAATTTATTCTTCTTCAAGACGTAATTTTCAGTTACATATTTCTCTCCAAACGTTTTATCATTTATCTTTTTCTTTAAAATTTTGATTAATTTGCATAATTCTGGATCTGAATGCTGAATCGTAAAAATTTGTTCATCAATCGTTAGTGTTAAACAAACTTCCAAGTTGTTCTCAATTAGAGAGTCTAAAGTTTCTTCTGGCTGATCAACTAGCAATCGGCTCAGTGCATCCATGCGACTCATCATTTACCTTATCCGTACTTTATTTCAAGATTGTATTCCTGGATCAGATACCTCTTGCTATCTGAGGATTGAAGTTTTTTTTTTTTTTTTATTTTTTTTTTATTTTATTTAAATAAACTAAAGCTTGACAGTCTGTAATTATCGTAAATCGAATACCAATCAAAAATTGTTGAAATCGTGTCAAAGTCCAAACTATAGCCATTAATTCTAATTTGTTTGAAAGATAATTATTTTCTGTAACTCTTGTTCCTTTATTTACGCAATAAACTAAATAAATGCCACATTTTATCTTCACCTTTTTGCAACAACATTCCTGCCAGCTCTATGCTGCTTGCATCTGTGTGCACTTCAGTTTCTGCTTCTGGGTTATATAACGCTAGTACTGGTTCATTAGTTAAATGGTTTTTTAAAGTACTGAATGCTTCTTGCTGATCTTCATTTCAAGGAAATGTTTCAGCTTTGAACCTTCGAAATACTGTCATTCTGTAAATGCATATCTGAAACATATGTTTAACTGTCAGTTTTGACAAATACAGAAGAGTTATTAAAGTTTGAACTTAAAATGAAATTTGAAAGGAATAAAGATATGAAGATGTTACACACAACTGATAATGATTGCAAAGTTGCTGTAGAAGAAATGAGTTTGATGGTTCCACTTTACTATCTTAGGAAAAAATCAAATAAATGTTTTGAAAAAAACTGCTATGAATTTACAACTTAAAGATCAAACCCATTGAAAACCAGGGATGACATGTGCAAAATCAAATCATCCTCAGACGAAGTGTTAAGTGTCTTATATGATTTCACAGTATGTTAAAAGAGAAAGTAACATAAAATGAACAATATGACATTTGAAAACTTAGATGATTTCTTGTTAGTTAACAGTGAACAATAGTTTAACTATTCTAAATGAACCATATAAAATCGATTTTAATAATGAGAAATATAATTAGTTCTATTCTGCTCTTTTAGAAGCAAGCATAATGTCAACATGAAACAAGATATCTGATAAGGTAAAAAAATGTTTGGATGCCTATATCCTATGTTTCATTTCAATTTCTCATGATATGAAGACTATTTAAATAGCTTAATTATTTCACAATGAAATAAGAAATGCTTCAGATGACTCTTTTAGATTTTACATCATTTTTTCAAGAGAAGAATCTGTAAAATTAATATGGTTTCTAATCTTTTTATCTTAATATTTTTATGATACCTTATTTGGTAAACTGAAAACTTTATATTCCTTAATAAATGACAGCACATTATCGCTTTAGTAAAAGAAACAAAGGAAAACGACATTTAAAACTGATGAGTGAAGGAAATTATGATATGGAAAATAGAATTTTAATCAGTGGTGAAAATCTGAAAAATGAAAATGGCATTACAAATAAAGAGTTTGTTTTGAAAAAAATAGATGGCAATTGCTTAAGAATTAAAGCTGTTATAAATACAAAAGTCAGAAGAATGGAAACTTAAATACAGTCAAAAGTCGTTAATTCGGACACCCATAATCCGGAATGATCTATAATCCGGACCTCAAAGCTACAAACTTTCTGCGAATATGCGTGTGCGCATGCGCAAAATACGTTTACGAATGCGTATTTAATGTATAACGGACGGTATAAGCTAAGCTAAAATTACCTAATTCAGTTAATGTTGCAGATTGCGTTGTTCCTTAATCTTCGAATTGGATTCAGCTTATTATTTTTTGCAGACTGTTAGAGCAATTTTATAAAAGTAAGCTTGAACTTTCGATTATGTCAAATAGAATTTCCGATATATATTTACTAATATGTAAAGGATCTACAAAGCGAAAGTATGTTTCGAAGTCCATTAAACAAAAAGTGGAATTGCTGCAAAAATGGATAAAGGCATATCCTTGGTTTTATCTAAACTTTGTTTATCTTTAACGCGCGAAGTTGATCTGTCAGCACTATCCTTATCTTCAGGGCAGATGTTTTTATTTTATTTGGCTTATAATTCCTTACTAAATGTAGTATTTCATCTCGATGTACTCCGTCTTTGATATGATTTAAATCAAATTCCTCGTCATTATAATTCGCTTCCGATAGCGAAGAAAGTGACAGAGGTTATTGAAAACGAAAAAATTTCGATTGACAAATTAGTCGGTATTCTCGA